TGTGAAGAGAACACAAAGCAAAGCTTGGCTTCTGAGCTCGGAATCCTCATCACAGCTTGTGATCCTTGCTCCCAATAGTGCTTGCTTGAAATTTCCCAAGGGCACCAAGTGGGTCCCCAGCTCAGACTGATGGACACTGGAGTGGGAACTTTCTGGCTTTCCCACGTTTCCATTGCACTCTGGACTTGGCGTGGGCCTGCAAGGGTGAGGCCTTCTCTTCTTTGCTCCTCTCCACAAAAAGCCCTAGTGGGAATCATGTAATACCCACTGGCAGAGTGAGCTGACACTTTTCTCCCTTCCTCTGTGAGGCTCTTATTATCCAAGAACAATGGTATTTTTACGCTGGCATCCTCAATGCCAGTTAAAGAAGCAGTAAATCTCAGAAGAATAAGTTTGTTGATGATTTTGTCAGTGAATGATTTCTACTTAGAATAATACCAGTGACAATGTCTAGAAATGACTGATTCTTTATCTTTGATTTCCAGTGTTTTCCATGAAGTGCCACTTTATGTTAGGCAGGTTTTAAATAGTTGTTCTATCAGAAGTGGAGGAGGATAATGATTTAATGGTAAAGGAATCTCAGGGGTGTGAGTGTGGAACCCAAACAAACAAATCAATGACAACAACAATATATGCTCTTATAGTAATATAGAGTTGCAATATTTATTCAACAAATAATTAATGGGTGCTATTGTCTGCTGATTACTTTCTAGATGTGTGGATATCAGAGAACAAGACAAACAAGAAACCCTGTCTTCATAAGGTTTGTACTCTCTTAGGCTTTGACTTCTAATAAATAAATTATGGAACAAGTTAAAAGATGACAAATGCTGTAGCCAAAAGGAAGGATCAAGGTAAGGAACTAGGAGCATGCGTGTGTGGGAGCAGGTCCCAGGGTCATCCACAGTGGTCAGACCGGGCTTTGATTCCAAGGCGACACCTGACTGTGCTTTGATAAAGAAGGCGTCACATCACTTCAGTGTAATGGAACAGTATTCCTTTTTCTGAGTACCAACTATATTTCAATCCTTTCCTACGAGCCTTAAAATGTTGTTTCTAATTGTCAAAACCATCCTGAGAGGTAGGTTGCTTCATCTCATTTTTTTTTTCACAAAAGGAAAATGAAGTGTACTAGTGAACACATAACAAATAAATGCCTGTGTAACAATGTGAATGTTGGTAACTCATCCCAAAGCTCATGGTCTTTCCACCCTACCAGTGTCTCTCAGCATGTCGTTTCCTAAGGTGCTCGTAGGAATCTGCCAGAACCCCCAGAGGTGTTCACTGGAAAGTACAGATTCCTGGACCCCATGCGAGTGCTACTCCATTCAATTTTCTGGAGAGTGGCCTAGGAATCAAAAGATCTAACAAGTTTTCTTGTGAACTGTGCTGCATGGCTCAAGTTTGAGAAGTTATTATAATGTGCTGCCTTGGTCTTTTGGTAAGAGTGGTCATGATGTTTGTTATCATGAGGCATTTCTAGCTTTAGAATCTCCAAATCAGTGCCTAAAAAGCAAAATTCTTAGCTTGACTCTCGAATTGTACATTAACATCTTAATCTGTATTGTGTGCCAATGCCAGGTTCTTTTCGGCCCTTTTCCATGAAATTGGATCCCAGCCACACGGGAGAAATGCAGTCTCAGTGCTGGGAAATGAAGGACATTCGGTACAAACTTGAGGTTCCTTCCAGGCTGCTGGGGGTTTCCAGGTCCCACCCACCAGTTCTTCTGTGGAACTATTGCCTCCAGAGTGCATTCTTCCTTCAAGGACAAGCTTACAGCCACCTCTCCTAACACATCTTGCTCTCTAGTGCCAATGAAATCGCCACCTTCATTTTGGATCTCATAAACTCTTCCAAAGACTACGAAGCCACACACTTGCTAAATACCTTTAACCATCAGGCCTTGGATAGCCTTGTTTTTCCTTGCTTGAAATTTTAATAATTCCAAAATCTTTCTAAAACAAAAAATCAAAACCAAATTATATATATACATATATCTCTATCTCTATCTCTATCTATCTATCTATATATGACACATATTGCGTTTCTGTCTACCCACACAGACCAACTTTACCCAGCCAAGCACCAACCTTGGTGTAGCCAACTAGTCTCTAAAACGTCAAGAATGCTAAGATAATCTAAAACATGAAGAAGTTAATTTTTCTGTGCTTTTTGGAATTAGAAGAGGGGAAGTGAGTGTTAGAGCTGTGGTGGCAAACCCATGGCATGCATGCCACAGCAGGGCGTTTGTATCATTGAAAGCTCTAAAAGGCTCACCATCACGGTGCTAGAGAATTGAGCCATGAAGATTTCAGAAGTAGAAGGGACTGTGGATATCATTCACTCAAGCACAGGAGAGTGAGAATGATTACATTAGTGAATAACTAACTGTGAAGCAGATTTCTCAATCCTGCCATCTCCAAACCTTTCCACACATGTAAATGGTAAGGACTGGTAAAACGGAGATCATACCTCACAAAAGTACCATCAAATCATTCATTAGTTCAATGCATGTTTTTGTTCCTACAATGCCCCAAGCACAGATATAATGCAGTTAAGTAGATGGAAATGGACAAAAACATACATTTTAGCGAGGAAACAGAACAAATAAGAATCATTAACAAAACTCTTTATTAGTAATGGTGATTGCTAAGAGGAAAAAGCAGGGAATAAGAAGAGGGAATGAGGGTGTGTGTGTGTGTGTGGTAGGAGCTGCATTTTTAGATAAGGTCATCAAGAAAGGCCTCCTTAAGAAGGAAAGACTACAACTTGAGAAGCCAAATATGAGTTAGGACCCAAGAGAATCTCACATCAATTCTTTTTTTTTTTGTACCAGAGATCGAACTCAGGTCCTTGTGCTTGTGAGGCAGGCAGTGGAACCACTGAGCCAAATCCCCGCCCTCAATATCAATTCTTATGGAGAATGATAAACAAAGATCAGACTAGGGAAAAATTGGGAAAAGTGGAACGCTGATATATTTCTGCTGTTCTTGGGAATCCAGGTGGCAGGAAACGGGAAAAGATGGATGGCACAATTAAAATGACAGCTGCTGTACTTTCAGGGAAGCTTTGTTAGTGTCTGAGGTGAAGAGAAATGCCTGATGGTTTGTAGTTTCAAATAAAGGAGAACTTTGCTTGGAAACCAGGATTTAGAAAATAGAATTAAGATCGATGAGAAGTATTATTTTGTTAAAAAAAAAGTCCAGAGAACATGAAGTAATGCCAAGACTAGTTGGCAAGATGATATAAGACTTAAAACTTGATGAAAATGTTGAGAAGTTCTGACATTTGATTCATCCAAATATGTAATTAATTAGGAGGATTTGGGGTGAAGTGTGAAATTTATATAGAGTCAATGACTAAAACAACATTTTTGAGAGCTTACTTACCATGTGCAACACAGGGACAATGCTTCAGGGCTACAAAGAGGACCAAGAAGACATCATTCTACCTCAGTGAACTTTTCACTATGGTAAATTCATTCTCTCTTCCTCCTCGGCACCCCACCAGAATGCATTTCCCAGCCTTTCTTGGAGTTAAGAGTGGCTTGTGGATAAATTCTGGCCAGTAGGGTTTGGATACATATGACAGATGCTCCTTCTTAGTTTGCCCATAAAATCCCAGGGGATGGCAGAGTCTCAAGATACAAGGAATTGGGATTAGCGCAGTCACCACCTGGAAGGCTGTCTGCCACATATTTGATTAAATATTACATCAACAACATATTTATGTTTGTGGTGTGAAAGAATTGAGATATGAGGCAGCTCATGTTGCCCGAGTAATATTATTAGTAATTAACACTTGCTTAGACTTTTACAGTTTGTTTAATGCTTTCACATATCAAATAATTCTGGTAACCACTATGGGAATTAGGCCTTAGGCCTTTCACAGGAGCTTAAATTGATTCCCACTGAGTATTGAATTACGTGGTCACAATCACACAGTTAATACACAGAGGGCAGCCATTCTAAACCACCAGCTCTTAAATTTACAAAAACTTATTTTTCCTAAGGCAAGCTTGGAGATAAATCTAATACAAGGTACTTGATAAGCATAGATAAAACTCTTGAGGATATTCAACAGAGTCAATTAACCTTCTTGGTTGAAGGAGCCGCAAAAGGATCACGTGGAACAGGTAAGCTTTATGATGTTTGCAAATTGACAAGAGAAATGGGACAACCATGGAAAAAGTTCCTATAAATTTTGACCTGCAATATGAGCGGAGAACAGAAATAGAAGAGAATTGGCATTTGTTCTAATGTTTCAAGGGAAGTTGGAGCAAGCCATGCAGTTTTATGAAGGAAAACAGGAACTGGTAACTCAATACAAATCAAAAAAATATTTATTGAGTGCCTGCCAGCTGGAGGTCCTTCCAAAAGTGTACAGAGGATACAGAGAGGAGATAACAAGGGCATAGCCCTTGTGTGAAATGGATTTATAATCTACCAGGGGAAATGATCATAAATGACCATAACACAATGTTGAGTAAGATAAACATGAATACAAACAGCAGTGGGGTTCAAGAGACAGAGAAGTGGCATGGGAAGCAACACAGGAGGACATAGGAAGGAAAGGTAAAACTTCTTGCTGGAGGTAGAATGTCAAGGCTGACCTCGCACAAGGTGCCATCCTCAAGTCTGGTTATGAATACACGACTTTATGAGGCCCACAGATGGAATTCTTAAAAGAAGGATTGATCAGTGGTCTCAGCCAGGACCACTGCTTTTGGAGTAAATGACTCCAAAATTTGATTATTGTTTAGGGGACAACAAAATGAAATTTTCAATTTATGTATGTTTGTTTAAACATGGAATCACAAACTAGCAGTGATATCACAGCTATGAAAATGTCTATTCCTATGGCAACAACCTGGCTTCCAATAAATTCAGTCAGTTACCAGCATTGCAAATCAGAAGGTGGTGAACTTGAGTTTCATTATACGCCACAGGAAACCAATACACAGTTCACTGAGATAGCCTGCCACTGAAAAGTCACCTACCATGAACAGGGTTTCATAATTTTCAATCATCTTCTGCACTACAGCAATGATGGCTGTGCTCTCTTCAGCCCGGGCCGAACTCTGGACTGAGAATTCTTTGTCTGATGACTTCTGCTTGTGCAGCAGGTTGGGTCCAAATATGGTGGCCAAGTTTAGAGATGTCATTTTGTTCCCAGTGACCTATTGCAGAAGAGAATACCAGGACTGTTGTTATGTTTGCTTTTTAAAATGCTGGTGGCTCCATTATCAATGAAACATTTGCTTTTCCATTATCTCTGCTGGAAACCACAAAGGGTCCTATCTTTTTCCCTTTGCTTCCTATCTTGGATCAAAGGTTACAGCTCAGTGGTCATCTCAGTAGCATATTGAGCAGAAATTTGCAACTCCATGGTTTATTGTGAAACTGGTACTATATAAAATTCCTATCCTGCCTGTACTTAAAAAAACACTGATATCCATCCATCCATCCATCCATCCACCCATGCATGCATTCATGTCTTATCTATTTACCCATCAACCCATAATATCTTCACTGATCTATCCACTCAGGCCCTACCATGCCTAGCCATTTTTCATGGATTACAATTATTTAAAAAATCTTCCAACAATAATCACAATACAGTCCTTATTTTGAAGGCCTCATGTTCTAGGAACAAAATGAACTTATCATTTTCGAGAAGTCAGTACAAAGAATGAAGCTGTCAACCCCCGAGGCCCCAGGACCACTATTACAGAGGTGGCAGTATTTGTCTACAAATTCAGGGGAAGAATAGAGTGCACTAGGCTGAAAAGCAGAGGGTTTGAGGCAGGGGTCTGTTTCACAGTGGAGAAAATACCATGGGCAATTGCAAACAAGTGAAATGCACCAAAGAGTGCCAGGAAGCCCAGTGGGCAGGGCTGTTGCAGGTAAGCCAGGCAGGGCCAGATCAGAGAAAGCAGTTTAGATGGTGACTCAAGACAAGAGGATTCTGTATGAGAATAGAGGGGAATTTCAAATGTGTTACCCCTGTGGCAGATGTTCACTGAGATTCTCATACTACATTTCCCTCCAGATCAGACTCTCTGATGGTTCTAATGGCCTAGCTCCGAGCCATTTCAGTAGTGCAGCAGGAAGTCGAAACAGTGAGTGGAGAAACTTTCTTTAAAAGGTCTCACATATACGGAGAAAGAACAAAGATGGGGGTTGGTATAGGTTGAAGAATGGGAAGTAGTAAAAAAAATTTCTTTGTGAAGAACTGGGGATTGAAATCAGGGTTTTCCACTGAGCTATATCTCCAGACCTTTTAAATTTAAATTTTTTTATTTTGAGACGAGTCTTGTTAAGTTGCTAAATTGCCCAGCCTAGGCTTTAATTTATGATCCTCATGCCTCAGCCTCCCAGAGTGCTGGGATTATAGGAATGCACCAGCCTGCTGGCAAAAGGAACTATTCTTTAGTTTGAAGTATAAAGAAATTGTTCATGTTCAATATATTAATAAATACAGAGCACAGGTAGGCATATAGAAGCAAAATACCCATAATTCCACCATTTCCAAGAGCCAGCTGCTCCTATGCTTTCCTATGTGTATATGTACATATATGCAGTCATGATTTATATCTAAAATGTCCTCCAAATGTCCTATGTGTTCAGATGATTGGGTCATGGGGGTGTTACAGGATGTTTTCCCTAGAAAGATCTACAGAGCCTCTGAGAAACACGTGGGTATCCAACATAGAATTCGCAAGCCCTAATGAACAGCCAATAGGAAGCTCCCGAGTCTCCCCACACATTCTGTGCAGCCCAAAGCTGGTTGGCTAGCCTGTTCTGCAACTCTGGTAGGCCACACGGTTTGTTTTATGTTTAAAAGGTGAGGCTGTTTTCAGGAAAGTGTTAGGTCACCAACAGAAACCATTCCATGTGGTAAACACTAGAATTTGAAGGAAAGTACTTTTTATGCAGGATCTTCAATCATTTTTCTTTATTTTATTTCACTGACATAAAGCCTGAACTGTTTTCATTTCCCTTCCTGGCCATTCATGGTTAAGGATAAAATAAAATATGTCATTTTCAGATTCCTCCCTTTGGTACTCAGAGGTGTCGGGAAGGCTTCCCCTCTCCCTTTTAAAGTAATATTAGGATTTTCTCTTTTTCTTTAACATTAACAAATAGAAGATTTTGTTTTCTTTTAAAAGAATGTTTAGTACAAGGACAATCCAGAGCTCTGTTTCCGCTCTCTCCTTTGGTTGCTATTCTGGGAATGCAATGCAATCTGTCTGTAAAATTGCACATAGATTCCAGCTGCAGACCAAACTGCTGTGGTTTGTTCCCACTTTTTGTTTTGTTTTTTGTTTTTATTTTTGTTTTTTTAAACTGGAAAGGGGACTTGCTCAACATCTTCTCCCCTTGCTCTTTATGTTTCAGAATACATTTGTGTCTATATGATATAGTTAGGTAATATATACACAAGAGGCGAGGCCATTATTGCATGATTTAATTAGCTGGCCAATTCGAGGCAAACTATTATTTTCAGTACATAAGTACTCTTAGATCATTTCTAAGCCTCATAAAAATAGCTCACATTTATTAAAAGCCTAATGCTTACAGACACTGGTCTAGGGGCTTCCCACAGACTATTTTAACTCTTTTTCACTACAAGTTTATGAACCAGCTGTTGTTTTTGTCCTCTTTAATAGACAGAATGGGGGAACAGTGGTTCCCAGAGTCTTGAGGTGGTCCAGCAAGAAGCAAAGCTGGCAGCTGCACCCAAGGCAGCTCTACAGTCTTTTGTACCTCCTCCCATTCGTTCCTGTGTGGCAGATCCTGCCATGGCAATGGGGAGATGGGAATATGAGCTTTAAGCAGCGCTGGAGGAGGCTGAGGTGAGGAAAACAGAGTTCCAAAGCCAGCTCACTGCTTCCTAGAGGCATGAACCTCAAGATCAGCAATCGCAACTCTACATTGATTCATTTTGCTTCGTGCTTAGACCCTTTGAGACTCAGTACCCCCTATACACTCTCTGACCAAACAAGTACACACTCACATCATAGTTTCTATGCAATGCCAGGGGCTTCTTGGACTCTCTGAAAAACTACTGTTTGGGATGTTTCTTACATTTGGGAATTTCTCTTTTCCTTAAGGCGCAATTCAAATAATAGGCTAAGCAAAAATAATAACACAAAACAAATACAAGATGGCAAAATAACACAGATCAATAAAATACCACTATTTTGCTCCAAAAAAGCACTGATTTTAGTAAGCAAATCCTCTCATACCTTCTTTTAGATATTTTTAAGATCCCACCAGTTAATGATGCATTGAATTTTAAGCACCAATTACAGAGGAAATAATATGTTCACTTTATAGATGAGGAAGTTCAGGCCTTCCCTGACCCCAACTCTAGTTTCCTTCTTCTTCCTCTTTTTCACAAAGGCAAGGTCATGCAGCAAGGTGCTGGCAAAGCCTGTGTGATCATTCAAGCCTTTCCACAATCTGGTTCAGTTCTTTTTCATGCTTCAGTTCATAAAACAACAAGCTAACAAATAGATAATGTAAACGGACAAATATGAAAGAGAAGTTGAGAAATGCTTTATTTCCTGACCATATTTTACATTTTGTATTTACCCTTCTCGAGTCTGTCCATTCTCTGTTCTCTACAGGTACACGCTAAACCAACAAAACATACAGTAAACAAAGACCCTCCCTCTGGTTCCTCTCCCTCTACACTTCACTTCTACCACAAGGGTACAGCCTACTCCTAATCACATGACATGCTTACATGGCCTATCTACTCAATCCCTATACAACCTTTGCTGTATCCCTTCCATCAATTCTCCATGGTGCCATTTCAAGCTCATGTAGCCCATGTAAGCCCCTTCTCTATGTTTCTGCAGTGATTCTGTACTGCATTTCCTGATTTTGTGTTTGTCTTGGGTCCTCACCTCCTCTGCTTCTTACAAGCCACAGCATCTTTGGAACAGCCACTGAAAATTCCTGAACAACAATCACTGCTTTAGAAGAACTCAAGGCAGGTGCTAAGGACATGCACAATTCAAATACCAAGGCCATACCTAAATGGAAACATTTATAAGAGAATTGTTTTCCATATTGCCAGTGTACCAAAGCTTCGTAGCTTACTCTTCCTCTGTCTCTAAACTACAGCGTGGGTTATATCACCTGCTTTCAAAGTCTCACATTTTAAAGGAATCAATCACTTACCCTCACAGAGGCATTCAGCACTCTATGAGCATGGCCCAATTTCCTGTTTTCTCCCTCAGTACTCCTCTGTTCCGTAGCCTTTTCTTGAGTCTAAGCTGGCTGTACAGGCTGCTTGCTTTCCTGTCACTTCTAACCTTTTCAAGAAAGTAATGTCCTTATATTTTCCCTGCTGCTTTAATCACTGGATTTTAGTCATTCATTTTGAAACAAGATTTAGGCCAAGAACATCTGGGTATTATCATATTTTTTAAAGTAAACTAGGCTTCTCAGATACTGCACAGTGCCAGTTGAAGATTGATTGATTGCTTGATTTTTAGAGGAGTTCTGATGTGTCCTAAACTCACAGGCTCAATCTGTTCTCTTGCCTCAGCCTTCCTAGTAGCTATAATCTACAGGTGCCCACCACCATGCCTGGCTCTTAAAGTGAAGAATTTTTATTCCCTAAATTCAGATGAGGAAACCCAGGTTGAGGAATTTTAATAGATTTACCCACGAACACATGGTTAGTGAATTACAGAGCTACCAGATATTCTCAGCCACAGATGACTTTGATTCTTCTCAACCTAAGGAGGAATTTGGAAATTTCTGGAGGCAATGTTTGTCACAGCTTGTGTGTGTGTGTGTGTGTGTGTGTGTGTGTGTGTCGGTGGCTGGATGCTACTACTAGAATTAGTATGCAGAGGAGAGGATAGGGATGCTGCTGAACAACCTACAATGCAAGAGCAGCTTTCACAGTAAAGCATGACTTTGCCCCAAATATCCACTGTGCAGAAGTTGGGAAACCCTGAACTAGTTATCAGTAGAGTTTTATTTTATTGCTTCTAAATCCTAGTGTATATTTTTTTCTGTGTAATTAGACTGGTTTGGGCTTGAGCCACATCTAGGCATTTACTAGTTATGGAGCCAACCTAACCACTAGTCAATATGATGACTTTGGGAGAAATAGAAAAAGGAGGCTCTTTGTCAAGATCTTTTACCGTCATCTGCTGGGATATTGTACTAATAACTGCAAATCTACAGTGATTATCGTGCACATGGCACTTCCCCCAGAACTACAAAATACAAAAACGTGCCACTTAGTATGACTCTAAATGGACATTCCCTGTGGGATGCTGGGTAAGTTACCTCACCTCTTTGGCTCTCAGGTTCTACCTCTGAAACATGGGGTCAATGATACCTCTTTATTTTTTTTCTATTAGAATTAGCTATTGTCTGTCTGTCCATCCATCTACCTGGCACAAAGCTATTAATTGGTAGGCAAGGCATGAATGGTAGCTAGCATTCCAGTATGCAAATTTCCATTTATACCTATCCAATAATACTGTCTTCTTCTTGGAGTAGCTTTTGGACTGAAAAATATCTGAGGATGACTCCAAAAAGGCAATAAAAAATTCAATTGGACTTTTTGCTTTCCTTACATTGAGGAAATCTTAAATCTCCTTAATCACCTGAGACTCAACATTCTCCTTCTCACATAGTACTTAAAAAATGTCATGGGCCGGGGATTTAGCTCAGCGGTTCGGTGGCCTGCCTTGCAGGAGCAAGGACCCGAGTTCAATCCCCAGTACCAAAAAGAAAAAAAAAAACGTCAGAGGCAACTGGTATATCTTCCAAGATAGGGCTCTGTCTTTACTCAGCCATCAGGCAGATGACTCCACAGCTTCTGTAATATTTGCAGCCAATCAAGTCTGATACCCAGACGGGTAATACAAGTATGTAACAATTATAAGAATTATAGTTTACCATCGAGGGCTGCATAGGCTGAAATAAGGTGTCGGGACAATATTACCAAACCCAAAGCCAGCAGGGTTTCACTAATTATAACTCCTATGGAGACAAATGACTGACTCAGGAAAGTTCCATTCTCACACTCATAAGGAGGAGGAGGAGGAGAAGAAGATATGCAGGACTGCCTTTCTTGATTAGAGTAAAAAAAAATTATATATGGACATGTTCTTTGGGAACTAAATTTGATAAGCACAGAACTGAATACATGATACAGTGGAGCTCTGCTTACCAGGGATTTAAGTTACTTTGGCTGAGTAAATCATGAATGCCTCTGGCCCCTTATCGATTTCCAGGCATGTTAGCATATTAAAGAATTTGAGAAAATCCAATGTCAGGGAGAAGTGTGATTGCATGTGATCAAAGAGGAAGAGGTCTCTGGTGAAGGGGAAGACTAAATAGGGCATTTGCTGGTAGACCACTTAAAATGGGGGCCAGCATCTCATTTGTCTAAAGCAGAAATGAAAAAAAAAAAAAAAAAAACCACCTTGAAGCACTAGTGTGATCAAAGGGAACCAGCGTCTAAGAACTCAGATTACTGGGGTGTGGTATCACACAGGGTTCTGAGTTGGGACCAGGCTGAACTAGAATATGTTAAAGGGTCCACGGGACTGTGTTGAACTTACCTTTAGCATTTAACACCATGTGTCATCAAAACACCATGTCAAAAGGTCTGGGAATGTAGCTCAGAGGTAGAGCAGTCACCTAACATATGTGAAGCCCTGGGTTCCATACTCAGTAGCACCAAGTAAAAAAAAGATGCAACAGCAAAGATCAGACCTTCCAGTCCCTTCCACATCTGTCTTGGAAGCAGGAAAGACCCTCATTGCATTCAGCAAGTCCCTATTTTATGGGAAAATTTACAGAGAGAAAGAACCCTTCTAATAGGCGATACTGGATTTCTTGCTATAGTGCAGATGAGAACTCCAGGGACAAACTGGAAGAATAGAGGAAATGTCATATTTGGGCTCCACATTAAACAGTATCAAGGATGGCAACCTCTTCTCATCTCCACTACTGTGCTTTTATATAAGTACAAGTGCCTCTCTCTCTCACTGTCTGTCTTCTCATACATGGAATTCAAGGACATGGAATTCAGTAAAACACCATTGTGGAAAATGACAATCTCACTTCCAAGCATTCTTGAAACATGCACGAAAGATAACATCCTCTGTGCTCTTAGGAACCATCCCACAGGCTCTTCTCAAACAGATAGGACAGAAATGGTGTGGCATCATATTCTCCAGCTGAAATATTTGGTCGTATGGATGCCTTGGCCCCTTTGAAAATGGGAGAGAGGAAGAATCACAGAGTCCACAGTGGCAAATGGGTCATACCTCTTGCCCATCTTCACTGACATTGTCATCGGCATGCCTGGCCACGATGGAGAGGAACTGTAGGAGACGGTGAAGGGTGTCGCAGTTGCAGGAAGGTAGAAGGTAAATGAGGAGCTGCAAGGTGCCCAGCTGCTCTTCTGGTTCCAACACTGTGCAAGGCAGAAAGAGGTGTTCTAAGTAAGAGTAAGGGGAGTTCGGGCTATTCAGGCATAAAGGAGGAAAGGCCTCTCTCAGCTGTCTTTTAAAAAAAAAAGGTTACCAAGGCAAGTGCAATGTCCTGCCTTCATCCATTCTCTCATTGCTTTAACAACTTAGCCACAAGTCTCTGCGACATGAAGAAATATATCACCTAGAGAAATTAGGGCAAAGGTAACTCCATTCTCCTTACTTTCTTCTCTGTCCTTTCTCTGGCCTTTCTCATGCAGACTTACTGGATTTCAGTCACTTGTTGGTAAAGACACAGTTGAGAATTGGTAGATACTCTGAACTTTGAGTTTGTAATGATTTGAGGCCCTTTTCGGTTGAGCAATAGACAATTGGCAATACTCAGGCATGTCACAAAGATAGTGTCTTTGCTCTCAGTTGTGATCTCGCTGACCTTACAGCATTGGAGGGAGAAGGGTGTGTAGACTGCCACAGCTCTGGCCTATCCTTCTGTCCTGCACTCTCTGTTCCTCCTCCATTGGGGATCTATCTATGGCTCAGAAGTAACTATGCTAAACGTCCTGGCACTTGGCTATGCCATCTTGCTTCTCCTAAAATGCTGCCTGCCCTCCCCTATCCTGAGTTCTCATTCTGAGTTCTGGACTTCCTCATACCAGAAACACCAATTCATGTTTAGGCACCGACTCAACAAGAACTCTCGCTGGTACTCCAAATCATCATTTTACAGCACTTTCTACTGTCCTGGGGGTCATTTGAAAGTATTCCAAATTCTTCTTGGCCATTTCCATTTGTTTTATTGTGGCTTTCTTCTTGCTAATTCTCCCCAGGGTAAATCTCAGAAAATTCCCCAAATAGCCCATTCATTAGAGACCCATAAATAAGGACAAAAGCAGTTGTCAGAAAGCACATGCACAAAGCTTTGATGAGTGAGCTGGACATCCTGGTATTTCAAAGTAGTTTCCCATAAATATGGCTACATTACATACAGAGAGTGTTGATGAAAGCTGTGTACAGCTCCCTGGTGAGAAGCGGGTCTGGCATGTCCCTCAGGAACTCCTTCAACAAGGCTGCCACATCATGAACACTGTGCTCCTCTTCCAGAGAGACATCAATCCCACGGTCAAATTCCTCACGTAACTGCAACAATAATGGGTCAAGTGGCAATCGCTTACCAGCACTGTCCCTCAGTGTTAAGAGTTCCCCAAGAAAAATGTTTTGACCATGACACTTAGTATTAAGTTTCAACAAACAACATGTTGTCTTGATCTGCAGTCTATACAACTCGGCTCTGACATATATATCATAAAACCATCAGTGGGTTTGATATTAATGATGTAAGCAGAAGGCTCAGAAAGACCAGTGGGAAGGCTGGAAAAAAAGGTAAAGAGCAGAACAGAATTCTGATGAATGTGGGAGGGAGGAGTCAGTCTATTACACAACAGATCTGTATGGCACCAGTCCTACCATGTTGGGATTTTGAGAGTCTACTAATGTCACAAGAAAGCAAGGATAATATTCTGCAAATGATTAAACTAAATATCCTGATAAGATATTCATGACTGAGGCTTACAAGATGACAATATATAAATAAAAGCTGTCTTGGATTTGTCAAAAGAGTCTTGTGAACAATTATGAGGATCCCCTGCCTTAATCATAACTAAGTCCATTAGCATTTAAAGCCACTGGACAACACAATAGCAAGAGAATAATAGCTCCACATCCTGCTTTCACCTGTGATGGCTCAACTGCTCTTATGCAGTGCTCTCTGCTGTAGAAATAGCAATGAAAGTCTGTGAATTTACACTGTGCCATAAACTTCTATAATATTTTGTTTGTTCAATCATTCGTCCATTTTTTCAACAAAGATTTACTGCATTTTTTCTGTGTACCAAGAGCTATTACAGGCCTTTAAAGCGTGCTGATAAAGGCAAAGAGGGCAGTCAAAGTCCCTACTCTCCATCTCTTCGGCTAGTAGAGAGATGAGGTGATAATCAGGTAATCCTACAAATGATTAGCTCTTAAAGTTTTGATTAGTGTTCCTGAAGGAAAAGTACAGGATGCTACAAAGTGACACCATTAAAACGGGGAGAAAATTAGAATTTATTTTATACCTGGAATCTAGCTCTTCGTAACCACTAATTATATTTTTACTGGGTAACCCTTAAATCTCCATGCAAAGATTTCTTTCCCTTTGGTGGACTCAGATGTAAGTGATGGATAGTTTTTGGTCCTTGCCAGCTGCCCACCTGATTAGAGTCCCTATCACTGCCCCAAAGCGATCACCGATTCCTGATAACTTGCCGTGAGCATGTCAGGCAGGCAGAATTAAGAGGCCTTCTACTGGTGCCCCTCCGACTGATTACTCAGACACACCATGTTTCTTTTCTGAGCACACACATGCAGAAAGAATGGACTGTGGAAACAGCTTTGCCTATGAAGTCATAGTGACTGGTTAAATTGTGTGATCTGGAATGAAATTCCTAAATTTCTCTAAGCCTTGAAAGCAGGGGGTGAAGGCAGCTACATGCATAGCTGGTGGGCAGATTCAAAGAAATGATATTTGTGAAAATATTCTGTAATATTCTACAGGCAGGGGCCTAAGTAGCATTGTTCTACTATCTTCCTTCTTGTAAGTCCTATTGTAAAATTTTAAATATTTAATGTCTCTTGTGTGAGCATTGATATGAAAAACCAACCAGAAAACATCGCTGATTTAAAAGTTACTTTTAGCTTGACAAAAGAAATACATGAGAGAGCATTTATTTCAATTACTTTTAATTAATATGAACAAATATAATTTCTTTAGCTTCATCCAACTAAAATTTATTTTCACTTGGCTTTATTTTTGAATTGCTGAGCCCCTTATGGCCTTTTGGTGGGAGCAACGGAGTGAAAACAGCATTTTAATTTACTTTGACCAACAAATGACTTCATGTTAGAGGATGATTTGCCTTTTATGAAGCCATTTTGAACACAGACACTTGTCTGATCACACGCACATATTGCTGATGGTCTAATATCAAACTATTGTTGTGAGAATGCTGTAACAAAATCAAAGAATATACTCCTCATTAAAATTGAATTGGGGATCCATGGCTCCATGGAAACTTAAGAACTGTTTATTTTTAAGAAAGTAAAGGTATATGCTGAGGCTGTGGGGGAAAAGGAACCCTTCTCCCGTGTTGGTGGGGGTGTAAACTGGTACAACTAGTATGGAAATCAGTACGGAGATACCTAAAAAGAAAATTAAACTAGAGGTTCCATTCGACTGAGCTATTCCTTTTCTTGGTCTTTTCCCCAAAGAGTTAAAAGCATTGTACCACAGTGATATCCACACACCCATGTTTATAGCAGCACAATTTGTAACAGCTAAGTCTTAGAAACAGCCCAATTCCCATCAGTGGATGAGTGGATAAAGAAAATGCAGTTTTTACATATAATGGAGTACTACTCTGCCATAAAAGATAAACGAGACATTTTTAGGGAAACGGATGAACCTTGAGAATATACAGTTGAGTGAAATAAGGACACACAGGTTTACATATCGCATTGTTTCTCTGGTGTAAGAAACCCAAGGGGTAAATAAGAAACAAAATGGATGATAGATATTGGGAAGTAAGAAGAAAATGTTGACAAGGGAAGGAAAGCCAGGCAGCGGGAAAGGGAAAGGAAAAGGAAAAAAAAAGGGAGAAGAGAAGAGAAAAATGGAAACAAAGCTTTTGTAAATAGGGAGGAGAAGAAGGATCAAAGGAAGGCAAGGGGAATGGGGAGAAAAGAAGAATCAGGATGTATTATATACAGATACAAATTCCCTGTGATGCATGTGATCGTTATATATATCAGAAATGTATCAATACAGTTCATTTTAAAAAAGAAAGGAAAGGGCTAAACTTGGCACCTTATGTGATGGGAATGTTAATGGCATTTTCATAGCAAACTTCAGTGAAAATTGGTGGCAGTGGTTTTCTATTTATCGTAACTTACTGATTAGGCACTTTCTGAATCTTCACCTTTAACAGCCCCACTAAGCTGTTTATAAAAAAGTTCTTTTTGGCTGAAAACGGCACAGACACTTTCAGACATTTTCTCTCAGTCCTTTGATCCTAACTCTATTACAACTTCTCTGAGCTTCTGAGTTGTGCTGCTTCATATCCTGGCACTCAATTATAAGATAATTGGTCGGAGGGCAAAGATATGCAGAAGGGAATGTGCAGCAGCTTGCAGTTTGCCCACGGTGATTCTGTTAAGCCGAAAGTGAAATGGACAATATGATCTTCATTTTTCACTTACTTGTCTCACTCTCTTTTTTGAGCTTCCCACTCGGAATATCCCCACTGTCTGGAGGCCTGAAAATAAGCAAACAAAATCAAGAACTTTGTTTTATGGCTTGAGACTTCAGAAGAAATCAAACTAGAAAGAGAGCCGCATGCTAGTGCAGAGCTGACATGCAGAGCAATAGGAACTAACAGCATATGATACTTCTTCATTTCACACTCTTTATGATCTCTACATACCTAGATGTTAGTTCTTTGAGCACCAACATTATTTTATTAAACATTTCTGCAAAAAAAATTTCCACGATATTATCTTTCTACAACTTCTCCATACAAAATAGAATATTTTCACATTTTTCATTATTTGGAGTAATTACAAAAACATGAATCTTAAAATAGAAATGTCTTATTTGTCTAATCATAATTAAAACATATTTCTTAAATAAAATCTATAGAATAAAGAAAATGTAAAATAGTACTTTGAGACATACTTGATGTATAAATGATTACTTAAAATTTTGGTTTATTTCTATTCAGCCTATTTTCTGTGAAAAAATACTGACTTGAGATCATACTACATACATATATGTTATCTATCTTTCTATTAGTAGGGAGAATGCTACTGCTTTATTTCAACATTAGGTCATACGAATTTTTATGTCTGTAAAGATTTCCCATAACTCTCATTGAAAATGAATTCAAATATTCTGTTGAATGAGCCACAATTTCCTCCACTTACCCCCCTGAATGGAATATAAGTCCCTTCAAAACACACAGGTTTATTTTGCTATTATCAGTGGCTTTACTCCAAATAATTCTGTGTAAATGCTTTTGATCATATGTCTTACTGTCTTAGGATAATATTCTAGATATGGAATTATAGGCTTAATGAATATACAAAAAGAATTATCTGACCTAAACCATCAATAGTGCTGTAAAAAGTTACATCTCTTTAACAAGCAACATCACTACCACACGTTAGAACTTTTCTAGTTTTCTAATAGCATTAAATTTCTAGGTAGTGTCCACATAAGGTTCACAAAATGTGATATGATCAATATATCTTTTAGTCTCTTAATCTATATATCTCTCCTCTCCTTCTACTTTTCCTCCTACACAGTAACTTGCTTGATTAAGAAATAACATGTAGGAGGAACACAAGTTTGAGACAAGTCTGGGCAACTTAGCGAGACTCTGTCTCAAAATAGAAAATTTAAAAAGGGCCGGGTTGTAGGTCAGGGGGATGTCCTTAGGTTCAATCCTCAGTACAGAAAAAAAAAAGCATTGACTTCCCACTTTCCATCTTCCCACCATCTGGACTTTTGATACTCCATGGGTCATTTGTATCCTCTGTTCTCCCCTATTTCCTAGGAGCTAAAAGTTAAAAGCCAGAGTTTTCTCTGGTTCAGGTGGGTAAGAATGCAAGAGGTTTGGGGGCCTCAGAACATCCAAATGGCTCTCCTTTTCTTTTGGAGCCATGAACCATCAAAACTAACATGCTTCATCCATATTTATTTCATTGGTGGCAGCTCATTTTCCATTCCTTTGGGATAATCAGTTATGAGAATGATGCCAGATTGGAGTTTTCAAGGGCCATTTGGAGCCACATGAAGTCGTCGGCCTGAGAGTGAAGCCAGCAAACACAGACTGCTCAGGGAATCCTCTGAATCTTTGATTCAGCCATGGCTGCATATAGATCAGACCCCCAGGATATAAATAAGGATTGTTGGTTTTTCTGGGGAGAGGGCATTTTGCTTAATCTTGTTTCATCTGGGTTCCTTTCATCTGCCACCCAAAACCTTCTGAATAGTACAATGTATAATTGATTTGGACAGAATTTAAATCTTTATAACATTAATTTTTCCATCCCAAAACAGAGAGAGCATCAATTTGTTAAGTAGTGTCTTGCATATCATTACAAACATTCTGGGTATATATTTCTGATATTCATATGAGTGGTTTCATTATTATAGTAGTCATTATTATGTTATTATTATTTCATTATTATAGCTGATCATTGCTTTTACATTGTTAATAGATTTTTGTATGTTTGCTTTATAGTCTTTCCATGGTAACAATTTTTGTTGGTTTTCCAGCGGGTTTAGTTAGAAGAGATGGATATGAATAAATATTCCATTTATCAGTACTGCAACTTAAATGTGCTGTCCTGATTCTCCAGAATAATTTGAGAGAATTGCAGTAAGAAGCTAGTTACTGTTGATTTGCATAAGAGCATATATTTGTACTTTGCACTTGGGTGGGATTTTGTTTTCAAAGGACTTCTGTCTCTTCTTTGCTACTGACATCGATTTGTCTACCTCATAACTGAGGCTAACCCTTAATCTAATCTAATTTATTGTTTCTACCTGTCTGGGAACGTGAGAACAGAAACATCCACTATTTGGAATAAAATACATAATTATATTGCTTTTCTCAAACGAAGCATGCGAAGTACCACCTTCAAAGGTTGCTCAATGATTCAATGAACTAATGCATATAGAATACTTAGAATGGTACCTGACATATCCTATCATATAGCGAAAAATAAGCCCTGAGTGAACGGAGTGAATCTCCTATAGGCAATGTAGAAAATTTTAGTATATTAGAAGGTCTGAGCAATTTCGAATTTAGCTTCCTACTTTCTTATTCTAAGACGGTATCTGAATATTTAGAATTTCTACAGAAGTGAGATATCATATAGGGGGATTTTCTACACAAGTGAGACTATTCATTTGGCTGAATTTCTCTAGGCTGTTCAGAAATGCCCAGTTCTATGACATTATTTCATCAATCACAGTACTTTCCAACTCAGTAAAACTGTGATTTAAAAATAACTTGTTAAAAACTAGATATTAATTGCTATAATTCCTTTGTGCTTTAATTGTCTATATACTCTATTTTAAGGCTTTAAAATTTAATATAATTTTTTAAGGGAGAACAAATGGGAACCTTTAGAAAGTTAATGCCTTTTTCTGACATAGCTCGACAGTGATTTTCCTCAAAGACAAGATACACTCTAGGTATTCACTAATCATGACTTAAGACAGTCACTGATAAAAACAGGTGGACGTTGAAAAGGCAACAATCTGAAAAAAGAAATGGGACTTTGCTGTATCCTGTCCCAGAAACTGACGTGATCACCGTTCTTCCTTTTTATCAGAAACTAAAATGGAAATCGGACCCAAAAGCACCTCAATATCAGGCTTAGGAACTTTCAAGAAACCAGGGCAGGCACAATGAGCAATCAGCCCCACCCTAAAACCAGCCTAAATCCCAGAAGCATAATATAATTTGACTCTCTGTTATACAACTATTTCATCTGGTTTTTGGAAATGGAAATGGTTTTTGGAAATGGAAATTTTGGGCAATTGAGGATACTTAAGGAGTTTTGACCTAATTGTGTAGAAAGCATTTGAATGAAATACAAGTGAAGAAGTGTTAGCTACGGAATATGGATGAGACTAATATAATTGTCCCAGATCAATTTTAGAGAGGGTGAAAAAAATCACTGACAAATGCTTATAAGATTAAAGTGATTGCTGTCCTCTGCTTCCTATTTCAAAAACAAGCAAATAAAGTCTTATGCAAGAAATGCTTTGAAGTTTGCTCTTTTTCCATTGATTTAAAGCAACCAATGTTAGAATATTTGCTTGAATTTGAATGTGTCTCTAATTTTTCTGGTGCCATCTGGTCAAAACACCATAAAAACCTGGAATAGAATCAGGCCTTGGAGGAAAACTTTGGTCCAAATCCACATGTCTATATATCTATATCTCCTCTATCTATCTATCTATCTATAGATAGAGTTTTCAAGGTATATAAGTGAAATATCGATATATGAAAAATAAAGTAAAGAAAATTTAAAAATCTACACTTAAAATTTGTATAAAAATCAGGATTAACTATATTAATTTTATTAAGTCACTCCATTATCCAGTGATTTCCATATATAACAAAGTGATTAGAAATTTAGATAAACCTGTAATCTTTTTATAAAGTCTCATCTGCATTACAAAGAAATACATGGACATAATCGGTGACAATAATCATATATGCGTGGTAGACTCAGAATTTTCTTTGGTCTTTAGGTTCTTTATTACAATAAGTGTATTATTTTTAGAGTAAAGAGGCATTTGAGAAACTTTTCCTATGTCCATAAGATGCACACTAACACTATAGCAAACAAATTTAGAGCATGGAAATGGCAGTTTGATGAGTCAATAAAAATGTGAGGAGCTGTCCATCATTTTAAAGTTAACATATTAACTAGAACTGAGTTGCAAAGGGATAATCTGGAGAAATTTTAAGTGAACATTTTCCACAAAACTACAAATAGTCATATGTAAATTTGTTTTTAAAATAATGTATTTTTAGGGAAAGTGAGAAGGGTAGGGGAAAGGTAATAAGGGAAAGAAAAAAATGGAAATAAAATGTTTGCAAATGGGGAGGGGAGGAGGGGGTGAAGGTAGGGCAGGGACAAGGGGAAAAAATGAGAACCAAGACCTGTCATGTAAGGGTACGGTATCCCAATGATGAATGTAACTGTACTGTGTACCTAAAATGTACCAATAAACTCAAGGAGGAAAAAATGTATTTTTATTCACTTAAACAATGATTTTCAAATCCTTTTTAAAAGAAGGTAGACTCTTATTTTTAAAGGAGACACTGTAGAAGTGTCAATGTATAAAAAAGATATGTGATTCTGATCTGTTTGAAGGAGGCCGTGGGCACAGATCCATCCCAATAGAAGTGACCCTTTCCTAAACTGCTTGGCCAGGGTCACTTCTGAGGACCCTTGGGGTCTGAGTAGTGCAAATACCATCAAACTGATTCCCTGCCCTCCAGCAATCTTGTTGAGCTCAGTAATCTCTTAAGCAAACACATCTGTATGCTTTCTTCACAAAGGTATTTTTAGTCGAAAGCCTAATGAAAGAAACACAGAAGGGAAATCGGGTGCTAAAAGGAGTGATTCTTGACTCGATGGTTGAGACACAAATCTACATACCATGCTTTTCCAGATGCTGACAGCAGCTGTCCACCAGCCTGGGGACCTGTCTGTAAATAGGATTCAGACTGAGTTTTTTATCTCTGGCCTTTTCTTTTTTGTTTTGCGCCTCAGCAGGCAAGGAGAGTTGCAAAGCTTCCAGCAGTCGAGAGTGGTTGTCATCCAGATCAGTGATGGAATCCACTGACATGGCACCCTGTAAAATGATGCACAGATTTAAACAAGAGGACAGAGAAAAGAACAAGAGCTGCCTCCAGTTCCTACCCTATAAATGCTTTTGCCCATGACTGTTTATCACTTTCAAAATAATGCTGCTTAGTTTAATTAATTATTCCATTTGTATCAAACAAAGGAAAAAAAAGTAAATGCTTTCTGAAAGTCAGGAAATCTCTACAACATAGGGCAAGGTATTGGCAATTACAATCTCAACAGTAGACCAAATTTTCCAAGTGGAAGACAAGAAATGGCAAACATATAATTAAAATATTTTAACCCAACCACTTCATTTCTTGAAAAAAGAAAACAAAAATCACATACTCAATGAATGAGGTAAAGTCAGAAATCTTGTGAATAAAAAAACAAGCCTCAACTATGGCTCTAAGAAGCAGATTTTAAGAATAGGAAGTTTCCATAAAACAGTCTTAGTTCAGTTTTCTGCAGAAGCAAAACAAAGTGCTTTATTAGGGAGGTGGTCCCAGGAAACACCTGTAGAGGCAAGGGGAAATGACACTGAGAAAGGACACCCAATGAAGGGAGGATTATCAAGCCCACTAGCCTTGTGGACAGCTGGAATTCAGAGGTCGACTCGTTTGGTGTTTCTGAGGTGGAGCTGAGAGATGAGTTACTGCTTGAGAGTTCTTTGTTTTGTCTTATATTTCCAAACGGCAGGAGGGAAGCCACAGAATCGAAATTCAGTTCCAGAGGAACTCCAGGAGATGATGTAGATCCTGTGCCTCGGAGCTCACCCTCTAAACAGTGAGGGAATTGGGTATTTATACACTAAGTATCAGGGATCACTGACTAAGGACAGCCTCTGGTAGGGGCATGGAGGTGACATTATCTACTCAATACTTTATAACCTGCCATTTGCTTATGCCAAGAGCCTCTGGCCATTTGAGAAAGCCCTCATCAGAGAGATGTGCTGGAAGATGGAAGGGGGGTTAGCATCCTAGGAATGGTAAACGTGTGCTATAGCCACCCATCTGAGCTGAAGAATGCAGCGAGAAGTTAGCTGTTGGTGTCCAGCGGGGCATAGAGAGAGATAAGGCATTTGGGAAGTCCACTGCCTAGCATTAGATGCCCAGAAAGCTCCAATTTAGACTTTTGTTCTCATTGTCATATGAGTTTATATGCAATCTGAGCGATGATAAGCTTATTGTATAAATTCAAGTACTTCATAATTTTGTCATTTCTTTATTTTTAAACATAGTCAGTACCATAAAGGAAGGCAGGGTTTCAGATCTTGCTTTACCTTGGAGACGTTCTGAATGTTGGTGGGTGATTGTGAAATGTGGATTGTAAGTGGCAGTGTGTCAACAGTTTTAACTAGGGCAGCCTTCAGTGCCTAGAGGTGGCAAAGACTTAGGGCCTCCAGGCCAGAGGAAAGGGAGAGATTCCTAGTGACCCAGGAAGTCTTAGAGACAGATGCTCATCAATTCGCTCAGCCATTCACCAGCCCCTGTACCTGAAAACCTCAGCTTTTCAGGTTTCAAATTTGAAATGTCAAGTAGCACAGTGCCTAGAACATAGTACTCACTTGAGAATTAGTGCCATATTGTTGCAGTCTTGATTTGAAAGACGCTACATATAGTAATCTATAGTTCTGGTTCAGGAAAAATATAAGCCAATGATAAGGGAAAATCGCATTATTTATAAACGCCTAATAGGCCAAGGTGTTTGGCCAGTCTCGTTCCCAGACTGATATTGAAGAATTAAAATCACCGTGCCCTTCCCTCAAGCCTTGGCATCTAGCAGAAAAGCCTAGCAAGACAGAAAAAGATGGCAGACCAGTGTTAGGGTCAATACTGCTGAATGTTCAGGATGCCATGGGGGACAGAGGAAAACTTGAAGGCTGTAGTCCGCCATACACTGAGTGAAAATTCTCCCTCAATGGAATGGACCCAAACTAGATATCCAGCTTTCTCATGATTACAGACTCAGAGAACAACTTTACACATCTTCAGTTTTCCTAGCATCAGTTCAGAGACAATCCCAGCCAACTCACCCGTCTCCTGGCCCGGGGAGCTGGTTCTGGAGTAGTGGGAGACGTCAACTCGTTTGGTGTTTCTGAGGTGGAGCTGAGAGATGAGTTACTGCTTGAGACTTCTTTGTTGTGTCTTTTACTTCCAAATGGCAGGAGGGAAGCCATGAAATCAGATGAATCCTTCTGTTCATCCCTCTGCAAGTCCTGCTTGAGTTTATAGGCCCTGTCATTGGCAATGACTTGGGACAAGGGCATTCCAAATGCCTGTGGGATGAATTCTGGAACCAAAAACCAGACATTCCTGTTAAGAGACTGCCTGGACCAGTGAAGACCCTTCACGGATGTCTCAGACTTAAAGTCAGAGGTATTCAAATGTTTGTTTTCTGAGGAACTGATTCATCTATCTATTGATGTACAGAAATGGCTTTACTTTTTATCACAATGGCTAAAATTTCTACTTCAATCAAAAAGCAAGTAGGCATAATACGTATTTTGGAAATCTCAATCTGCAGTTTTTTTTTCATATGCTTCAAGTTTGTCTTTAAAGAAATAACGTTACAGAGAAGTATGACATTTTTGACAGACTGTAAACAGTACTTTTTGCTCATGAATATACAGTTCTGCAAACTAGTCTTCAATTTCTATTTCTCAGAAGCCCCTAAAGGCTGCAAGGGATGAGGAGATTGCATTTACCCATTTATTGGACACGCATTTGTTGTACACCTACTGTGTACCACATCAAAGTATGTAAACGAGGGAGGTACAATGTTTATAAAAGGCCCAGTGTTTGCTCATGAGGGCTTCAATGCGTGGAGTAGGATGGGCGAGTGCAGGGTCAGACATTTAAATACTTATAACAATGTGCCTATTGTGTGTTGTAATGGAGAGATGCATGAAATAAAGACTAAAATTCAGTGAAGTAGATACATTTTGTGGTTTCCAATAGAAGAGGCAGCACACAGAATGAAATCCAAGAGGCAAAGGGACAACTTGGGGACAGCTTGGGAAGAAGTTTGCTCTTTTCTCACTATGTTCCTCATTCCCACACCCTATCTCCAGCCAGCTGGGTTGATTGCTGTCATGCTCATGATTTATACTTAATCCATTTTTGCAACCACATATAGAAGTGACTTCACCGGAGTATCTCTGGTGAGAGGTCTAGAAAGCAGTTTGTTAGAAATCCTCTAGTGGGGGCCACTTTGGGAAGGGGCATGATGTAGAAATCTTTGGCTTCATTTAGATATACACAGAGTTGTGCTCTGCATCTCTGTAGCGAATTCATTTGCACACATACATTGAATCCTTAGGGCCAGGCATTTTATTGTCAATATTTTAGATTCATGCCAAAAAGCATTATTAATTCAATAATGTGCATTATTCCTGTTAGACTCAAAATTACATCTCACAGAGCAGCAAAATGGTGTCTCATCTCTCTTTTGTTTTTATAGGCCCTGTGCATGGAACCAAAATGAACAAAGGAAAATAATTCTAAGGTTGTTTATTCTTTGAACAAAAAGTAAACATTAAATCAGGTGGAAAGTGGCCTTAAAAGGTTTTCCTCTGATTCATGGCAACATTTTAAAGTAGGATAATGGCCAAGTGTGCATTAAGAGCAGAAATGCTACTTGAAAGGATAGAACCCCTGGTTCTATCAAAACATGGAATTTGTTTGGAGGGGAACATATCCTAACTTCATTGGAGGATTTTCAGTGGAGCTTGCCATTCTCTATCAACATACTAGGTGAAATATGACAATAAAGTTTGGGTATTTGTCCTCTGAGTGATCAGTGTAGACAATGTAGCCAGATCCAATACTCATTACTGCAAAAAGGCTGTTTCTGCTACTAGCAAAATTAGGAAGCAAAGAAAACAGTACCAGACCCCTAACTGTGAACACTGAAGACTTATTATATAAGCCAGCACTATCTTAGCTGAAAAAATACTTAAATATTCTGACTTTAAAAGATTGGAGGAGTCTGGGAACATGTGGATGGTAAGGCTGACAACCACATGAAACATACAGAAACAAACAGGAGCTAATAACATTGACATGTATCAGGTGACATGTAGTGCTCACCTAGGCATATGCAGAGCAGCAATTTACTCTAAGAATGGAACTATGGAGCTGGGACATATTTCAGTGATAGAACACTTGCCTAGCATGGCCAAAGCCCTGGGTTTGATCCCCTGCATGGGCATGCATAAACACACACACACACACACACACACACACACACACACACAAATATGGGGACTATTGAGTTCTCTTCTAGCCATTTTTTCTCCATAAAAGGAAACCCAACCAGACTTGTTTAAAGATTTCTAATATCTGTGGAAAAAGGAAGAAACATTGTTTCCTTTGGAATCTGTCATTTTTAATACCTGAAAATCTGTCACTCTACATGTAAATTAGAATAGATGAATGCAAATGAAATAGATGAAATACATGAAGTCATCCTCCCCCAATTTTTATTTCTCTTTTGTTCTAATCCAAGAGATGCAGCCACCCATTACAGATTTTCACTTCTCCAGCTTTCTTTTCTGGCTGAGTTTATCCTTTCAATGGTAGAGGGTTTTTCTGTTTGTTTGTTTGTTTTTGGAACTGGGGATAGAACTTGGGCCCTTGCACTTGTGAGGCAGGCACCGGAACCACTGAGCTAAAATCCCGGACCCTCAATGGTAGAGGTTTGATGCAGTCTCTTTAGTTCCTTATTACTTCCCCGAGGATTCTCACAAGTTTTACAAAGGAGACATCTCCCTGCTCCAAGTTATGCAGTATCTATTTAGTCTTTATAAAATTCTAGGAAGAATTCCTGAATGTTATTGCTTCTTAAAAATGTAGCGATTTTGAAATCAAGGACTCACCACAAGCCTTTTGAGCAAAAGTCTAGTTGATGTTTCGAAAAAGCACTGGAAATACATGCCTGCCTAAGTTCAAAGTTCTTCCATGAGGGTAAAAAAGGAACTTCGAGACTCAGTGCTAACAGAAGCTAATAAAGTAACAGGCTTTTTAAAATTAATTTTTAGGACAACCCACTTTCTGGTCCCCCTTCCGTCTCTCTCAGACTGAAGCTTTCTTTCCCTCAATAAATTTTTTCTACTCTTAACATCCATTGTTCCTAGAATTCATTCTTCGATTGTAGAGAACATGAACTTGCATTTCGGCTATCTAGCAGGTTTGGGAATTACATCTCTTTCCCCTATATCAATTTGGAGGTCTTCCACCAAGATTACTAGTCGGAGGTAAGAGGTTTTTTTTCATACATAGTTTTTTTTTTTACTTTTATTTAATTTATTGGTACATTCTAGGTAGACAGTACAGTTTTTCATTACTGGGATCTTGTACCTTTGCTTCATAGATTGCAACTTGTTTCACAGATTCTGTTTTTTGTTTCATATAAATTTTTATGGCTTTTGCTTCAGTTTTTTTAATACAGATTTTTTTTTTCCTCATTGAGTTTATTGGTACGTTTTAGGTATACAGTACAGTTACATTCATTATTGGGACCTTGTACCTTTACATGACAGGTCTTGGTTCTCATTTTTCCCCTTGTCCCTGACCTCCCTTCACCCTCTCCTCCTCTCCCCTTTACAAACACTTCATTTCCATTTTCTCATTTTCTCATATTTTTTTCTTTTCCCTTATTCCCTTTCCCCTACCCTTCCCACTTTTCCTACACCTTTAGCCCCTTTCTTCCTATTTCAAATTGTCCATTATATCATTAGGGTCTTGCATACTATTATAGTTTATTCACACCAGAGAAACTATTCGGTATTTACACATGTGTGACTTATTTATTTCACTTAGGAGTACATCCTCAGTATGTATCCATTTTCCTATGAATGAATCTAATTTCTCATTCTTTATGGTGGAGTAATATTCCATTTTATAGAAAAACCGCATCTTCTTTATCCAGTTTCCAACTGATGGGCAAATGGGCTGTTTCCAAGTTTTCGCTATTACAAACTGTGCCGATATAAACATAGGTGCACATATATCTCTGTGATATGATTCTTTTAATTCTTTTGGAAAGATACCCAGCAGAAGGATGGCTGGGTCAAATGGAACCTCTAGTCCCAGTTCTTTGAGGTATCTCCATATTGATTTCCATAGTGGTTGTACCAGTCTGTACTCCCACTAAGAATGGAGAAGGGTTCCTTTTTCCCCACAATCCCGCCAATATTTGTTATTGTTTGATATCTTGATAGCAGCCATTCTTTGTGGGGTGAGGTGAAATCTCAGTGTTGTTTTCATCTGCATCTCTTCAATGACCAGTGATGTGGAACATTTTTTCATATGTTTACTTGCTGCATTTACTTCTTTGTCTGAGAAATGTCTGTTAATTTCAGATACCCATTTTTGAATTGGGTCTTTATATTTGGGGGTGCTGATTGTTTTGAGTTCATTAACAAAGTCAAGGACAAAAACCATATGATCCTCTCAATAGATGCAGAAAAAGCATTTGACAAAATTCAACACCCATTCATGATAAAAAAATAACCCACAGAAAATTGGAATAGATGGTCTTTATCTCAACTTGATAAAGACT